ACATCTAAGAATTTTTTCATTCATATTATATACGAACAAAAATGTTTTATTAACATTTTCTTACAAGTTACTGCAACTACTCTTCTATGTACTCTACTTATTTTATATGTTAGTTTTAAATCACCCTTAAAGTCTAAATATAAATATAAAGTATTGTGTCAATTATTTAACATTACTAGTTCGTTAATAAATAACAAGACGAATGAATTACTTTAACTTAAAATTTAGAGTGGATCTCCTGGGACATGTAAAAAATGTTAAAATTAACATTTTCTTTTTTACTGTGCACCATTATTTTTAATGTGTAATAATCTATAAGTTACATATAAAATCATAATTTCTTATTGCTTTCGAGAATTACGCGAAAGTTTTTCCGCAGCTTTTTGTGACCTTATCAGACACTTCTAGTAGCACAACTATGATAACTATTGGGAAGTAGCGACGGCTTGCCGAAAACCGGAAGCGGTTCGGCTGGAGGGCAAATTGAACATCGCGGTTAAACGCAGACTCCGCAACGGCTGACATGTGTAGAGTAAATCGCGGGTCAACGCCAGATATCAGTCACGATCGATATCCGTGCTTTCGATATCGCGAGGGCAATTTCGATATACACGATAACTTTCCTACACAGTTACGTTTGTTAAAAATGGAAGTGGTTAACGTTGATCCGAAATTGACATGTCAAAACGAAACTACGATTTGACATATATATATATGTGTGTGTGTGTGTGTGTGTGTGTGTGTGTGTGTGTGTGTGTGTGTGTGTGTGTGTGTGTGTGTGTGTGTGTGTGTGTGTGCGCGCGTGCGTGCATGCGTGCGTACTTGCGTGCTTGCATGCTTGCGTGCGTGCGTGCGTGCGTGCGTGCGTCGTGTGTGCGTGTATGCATATGTGTGCGTGTGTGTGTGTTATATGTAGACCCAATGCATAGACAAATTTTCATTATGAAGAAAATGAAATGGAGATAACGTAAAAAATTGCATATACGATACAAAAAAATTACATAATACATTGCAAAAAAATTTGCATTATTAAATCAGATTACAGATGAGTTGGAATACGAACGTGAACGTCGAACGGATTATATGCATGAATAATGCAAGATTATAGCATGTCGAAAATTGAAGCCAACGATAGGTACAAACATATAAAGCTTTCTTTGAATATTTCTTTGAATATATACATTCTTATTCTTCAGATTCTTTTAAGATTAATAAAATATAAGAGAGAGAGAGAGAGAGAGAGAGAGAGAGAAAAAGAGAATTGTATCAAACTTTCAAGATATGATTTCATGTATCTCGACAATAAAAAAAGTTTATATGAGCTTCGCGATTGTTGGTGTAGTTTTTGAATTACTCGTATATCGACGGCTATAAAGCTAGGTTTGTGCCAGCATCGTTGCGTGAAAATCCATCGGTAATTCCAGC